TACAGGGCAAAAACATTATTAAATGTATCTACAATAACAATTTATCATACTTACACAGAGTTCATTTTAAACAGAAATCAATCGATCGATGTACACATACACTAATAATATATACATATATGTATATATCTGCAATCTTGAACACAATTCCGAGCATTAATAATCATACAAAATGAAAACTTTTTAGTATCTCGCATTAGGATGAAAAATATCCAGTTACCAGGGCAAAGAAAGACTGATAACTGCTTCTTTCTGAACACATAAATCTGGTTTCAAGCGTTTGATAGAAATTGCTTCGGCAAACTTGAGGAGAATGGAGTTCCTTTGTCTATTGATAATTTTAAAGGATTTCTCGATTTCCACCTCATGACCCGTGTCAAGAAGATGCCTGGCGATGGCACTGCCTAAAGCATTTGTTCCCTTTATACGTAAGCTTTTTGGTACATGTTCAGAAAATCGTAGATATGTTCTTCTTTCTGTTCTTCCAATGTAACTGCTCCCGCAGATACATGTAAATTTGTATATACAGTTGGAGTTAACATGAGAAGGATATCTATCCTTTAAAATATATATATATTATTAGTGTATGTGTATATCGATCGATTGATTTCTGTTTAAAATGAACTCTGTGTAAGTATGATAAATTGTTATTGTAGATACATTTAATAATGTTTTTGCCCTGTAAGCAGCTGAAGAGAAGGCGACGAAATAAAACATGGTACCATTTTATTCTGCAAAATCTGTAGTTGTTGCTTTGTTTAAAAGTTTGCTTTAACGGGCGTGCATCCGGTCATGCTCGGATATCGAAAATGTTTTTCCTTTCCAATAAAGGAGTGAGAGGTTAGAGTGATTAGTGATCGAATTTGTAGAGTAAAAGTTTTACTCCTATTATTTTTAATGTTATGAGAGGGGAATCGAAGTTAACCTCATCGTCCAGTCAATCTGATTGCATAAAACGTTACAGTTTAGCAAAAGCTTTGTCAAAACAAAAGGCAGATTACTTAGTATTCTCCATATTTAGTTACCAGTAGTCTCATTAAGCAAATGAAACACTTCGCTACCTTTTTTCGTATTGGCCTATATCTAGGTCGTCATCGAATGCCACTTGACTGCTATTTGGCATTTAAGATCCAGTATCTGACTTATTTGTGTTAAGCTTGTTTGAACTAGTTGATTTCTGGGCATTAATTGATGTTGATTGCAGGTCTTTGGTAGATTCCAAAACAGTCGACAAGCTGAATTCCATGGTGTCTCTCTGTCAAGTTTAGTTAAGGGATGAATGCTCGTAATTTGTTTCAGGATGTTGCCACTGCTGTGCTTGCAATCAAAGAGTCCTTCTGTCGCAACAGATTTATTGGTGTTTTTGTTGTTGTTTGTGCTGACCACAATGCGCCTCCAGCCAACTGATCACTTGCGCGTCGGCAGTAGAGCAGTTAGGACGCTTGCCAACCGGGATTCGATCCCCTGCCGACGCACACCTCATATCAATGGCCGGCCTGCTAAATTTGGGCTACTGATATCACATGCTGAAAATTCCATACTTGTACCAAAATACTGTGTGAAATCAAGGTATAATATAAATAACAATATTCCCCACAATGAAAAGACACTCAGAAGTCAGATTTAAATGAGACAGCTGCAACAATAAAAATAACTTCATTATTCGCAATACATAGTAAATACCGTCTACGCATCAACGTAAATTTAAACCATAAATAATCATTATCTAATTGATTGCACTAAACATAATTTAATGGCCAACAATGGCATGTTGCCCGTCCTAACAACTCTAGGGAGTGCGAATATTAGCTGGAAGAGTAGGTAGATAGTAAGATAATAACTGGAGATAGGGGAGAGAAATAGGCAATAAAATAAGATGAAGAAGAGTGGAAGGAGAGGCCAAGTAAAAAAATTCGAGTGACCAAGAGATATTTATAGTACATCTACAGTTTATTAGTTCCATCTGTTCTTCCACCAGATACACTGCTCGTGAAACTCCTCGCAGTCATATGACAAAAGTGAGTACAGATGACCCAGAAGAACCTTCTTAAACTTTGTATTCTTATCACGTCACTTCCAGCGATTTTTCTGGACAAAGGTTTTCTAGTCTGTACAGACTAGATTAACACACAGGTCAGTTTTGAATTGGTTAATCTTTACCATGTTTAGACTTACATCAGGATCATTAGGTGTTAACTGTGTTTTAAAGCCATGTTATAATCTGGTTACCTCCTAAAAGGTCTCCTAGTCTTAAGGCTGTGCTCTGTATACTTTTTTGGTGAACCGGCCCTTTTAATAATAGTCACCGTCTTCGTTAAAAGGGTTTTTGGTAGACTACGTTATAATACTCTTCAGCCATCCCCAGTGTTCATGAGTTGTTGGCGTGTGACACTACATGCGAAATGACCTGTGGGCAGTTTGTTTTACAACTAAATCAATGCTGAAAAGAGTCATCCAAAATCAACTACTCCCCAGTAACGAAATGAAAGAATAATGTTGCATAACAACTGATTCTAAGCGTTTGTTTAATTCTCATGTTCTTCATTAGCAGGTAGTCCCAAGTTAGATGGTAATCGAGAATAAAGTATTTGTCGTATATATCTTGGCTTGTATTCTCCTTAGTATTTCATTACAAGCCCCCGTTCTTTCTTAATCTTAGCACATTTCAGCCAAAGGCTCTCCCCAAAGTACATCTGTGTTTATGGCTGAGAGAAGAAGTCTTAACATTTCATACGGCAAAAATCACACAGAATATCATGGCGGAGGTAAAATGCCTCACCCTAAGTAATTATCATATCTGATAAAACAGTTGTTAATTACAATAGAACCCCTTCCTTGTCCTTTGTTATGTAGGTAATCCCTAAAGCTGTAGCCTTCTGTGATGTGTGCCTATACAGAATGCTTAGTTTCACTCTCAGACTTACTAATCCGAGTGTACATGTGAAAACATCGAACTGTAGCCTGGAAGACAATGCCTTTATATAGTATTTATCTTCAGTTTTCAGAGGTGCTGTGGACGGTGCCTGTCACCCTAGATTTCCTTCAACATGAATAGCAACCGTTAAATATATCTTTTCTATGATTACGAGTTATCGATTTGTGTGGTAGGTTTGGTGCACGCAATCTTGGTTGATTCCCACCCTTGGTTCTGAAGTGCCAGTACATTTGTCTCCCTTTTCTCGTATGTTTCGAAAGATATTTGATTCTTCTTATCGATAACAAACTTATCGCTGTCATTTAAGATGCACGCGCTCCCAAAGATAAGACAGTAGTACGAAGGTACATGAAAGCAACCTATCTTTATCTAGTAAAATAATACGCGCTTTTTAGATTACACTGTAATAGTCGCTCCAATGTATGCAATTTAGATCTGTACAACCATTACTGCTTTTCGTTAAGAGTCCAGACTCATATGTAATTCTTGAGCTATCAAAAAATGCACGTTGCTGTCTTACAGATCGGAGCGATTCACATTTGTGACCGCTTCTATATCTGCTGATCAGTATGTGCCATCCTCCCTCCTTTTTGATGTTAAGGTCTGAGATTTTCTTGTAATAACTGTAGTTCCAGCTTAGCTTTGTGCCCGTCCCGGTCATACAGTATGCTGTACATTAATGGCTTTCATGACAAATAAATCCCATAAGGTCACCAGATACATCGATACCTGAGGACATTCTTAGCAGTATCACCTTTATACATGCATACATGTGCAAACAGGTTATTACAAACTACTAGGAAATCAGGTTTCCCTTATAAATCTAGAAAGTATGGAAGTAGTTTGCATTAAAAGTATCTGTCATCAGAGGAACTTCCTGACGTAGTAACCCAGACCTTCGCTTTTGGACTTAATCAGTCAGACGCATAAGGAGAAGCAGGGAATCAGTGGCTACTCTGTACAGTTGAAGTAATTCAATAATCATAGGTGTAAGACTTAATACTCCACAGAAACAAAGCCTAAAATCACACAATACTTCAATCGCAAGCTACTGCGTGTTACAATAAAAGTATAGCTTATGGATGGTGTGCGTTACGACACTCACTAGGGTCAGAGTATCTAGCCATCAAAACTGTACTGTTTTCCCAGTAAACCTTTTAGGTGGAAATTGTCTGAAATGAAATTCTTCTTGGAGATGTAAGCCTAATACACATTCAGCGTATGAACTGAAATACTCTTTAACTGTGAGTGCGTCATGGCATAAATGACTATTCTGAACGGAAACGTTTGTCTGATGTATCATAGGAAACAAAACTCAGACATATATGGAGTGCGACGAAATAAAACTACTTGACCTTATGAAGTGCTTAGGAACCTCCTGCGTAACTTATTACAGCATTCTACATAAATGTTGCCTAAAGGTTTTCGAAAGGCCTAAGCCATACAGACCAGTTCATTATGACACCCGCTTTAAGTTGGAGAAGAACCTCATGTTCCAGATGTAGGTCAAGCCAAGACTGCCAATTTCACTTTTTCTGACTACAGAAACTCAACACCAACAGCTACTTCCGCCTGAATATCGAGAAATATTTCAAAAGGCATCCAGATGACCACTCAACAAAGCACAGACTGAATCAGGCCTTAATTCTGACCTATTGAACTGCTGAAAATCTTGTTCAGCAGCTAAAACCTAAACAGTCATGCAAAAGAATTATCCCGATCCCGTATTCATAGACCACAATTTTGTAACTCGTAGTTTTACAAACTGTCATGGTTCCTTTTTTTTACGAGTTGATCACGGACTGATATCAGTTAGAGAACCATTGACTTGCTACAGGATGGAGTTTCCTGGAGTTCTAGTGAGAAGTCGTGACCAGTGACGACTATGAAAAAGCCCAAAAGATGTAAAATATCTTTTGCTCATCACCACAAAGACCTCATAATCATCAAAAGCTGATGACAAGAATATCAGTTCCAATTTACAACGATTGGGGAGTGGAAAATTGAACATTGAATAGTTGTGTTTTAACACTCAAAGACGAAAATCGTTATAGAGATTATGCTGGTGGATTTACAAAATATTAAACTTGCTTAAATAATCATGGTTACAAGAGATGTCAATGTTAAGCTGAATGTCGAGGAAAGAGTTAAAGAAAGACTTTGTTTTAAAAAACCTACAGTAGCCCAAATGAAGAGATTATCCATTCCTGCACATCCTTTTATTGAGCCCTTAGTAATTTTAATGATAGTTTCCATTTGGATTAATTTTAACTTTATAGTCACAGTTGCAGGAATTCCAAGAATACAATAAAATTGAGTCGGTTCATAAACGAGCTCGAAAAGCTCTTGCTAAAAAAGACTCCCGTTCTTCGTCAAGAGGAGAGAAGTTTCGACGTCTGATGCCTTTCGAGAGAGATGAACCAATGAAGCGCGTAGTGCCTCAGCGTGTTGAGAGCCCATTCTTCCCAGAAGTAAGCCTTCCTTTGCTGTTTATTGTGTAGGATGAACCACCTCTCATAGTTCCTGATGCAGGGAACGAACTACTTACGCAAAGTAGTATGCAGAGATCACATCCGTATGGTCCACACCCCGGTAGGTCAGATTTGTTTGATCGCAAACAGTTAATTTTGTCGTTTACTAACCACTTATTTTCCTTACGTAGGTGTTTGTCCCGCATCACAACTGTTGGATGGTGAGTCTCTGCTTTTTTACCCATTCATTTCTACTTTGTCATGTGAAGTGTCTATTCTTATCATGTCTGAATCACTTTGTATTAAACCTTGTCATGACTATACCGTTTCTTTTCATCATAGTACGTACGTAGAGCTTCATTAAATTTGAAATTTACTACATCAAGATTGTTTTACTTCAAATATTACTTTTCCAATCTAGCAGACATTAAATTTAGCAAATTACAGTGTCTTTTAGATAATTAGCTGGCATCACTTTAACTAGTACGTGGTTTACATTCGAAGCTTATAGAACGATTAGAGGGTGAATGTAGCAACTGATCTTTTGGAGCTAAATAATTGGAAAATAACAAAAGAATAAATGTTAGGTGTAATTTACCGGCAACCTGAAATGATAACATAAAAAGATGATACTGGTAATAGTGAATTAATGCATTCCTGTTGTTATTTTTCCAGTTTTTTCTTTAGCATTATCTGCATGAACTTAACTCAAGCATCATTCTGTTAATCATGTCTACCTTGTATAATTCAGTGCCAGGAAAATACGATATTTTTACTGCAAGTTGTGCCAACAGTTACCTCAAGATAGATTATCTCCAAGTTTTCACCAGAATAAAAGAATTTTGATCTTTCTTGTGATTAGTCAGTGTCTTAATAATTTGCTATTTGTCCTCACAATTCCAACCATTTGTGATTGTATCTGGGGGTTGTTTGGAATATCAATTTCCTTAAACTTAGCGACATTACTCATTTTTCATTTTGAGATCACGTTATATTGTAGTATATTGTGGTGAACAGATTCACGATAGGGAAAGTTCAGATCAAATTCACAAACAACTGGTAATGCATTAGGAATTTTAAAGGCATTCGCATATAGTGACAAGATTCTCTGAAATGGTGGTCAAATTTTCGTATGCTTTCACAGGATATTTTATCTAAAAACGCCGTTTTCTCTGAAAGCTGTCTAATTATTCTGATGAAGTACTTGTGTATTATTGTTTGTAACAGCCTAGACTTTCTTTTGCTGTGGGTTTGAATAGCTGGATCGTCGATTCACACATGATTTACCTTGTTTGATTTGTCCATAAATTTTTCCCTTCAGAAGTTGCAAGTTATGAAGGAGAGACTGACATACTGAAGATAATTAATGTTCTCAGGCAAAATAAACAAATAAGCTTCTTCTATTTGACTCATGCACTGCCAAAGCGCTCCACCAAATATCATTTTTATAATCTGAAGTAAGTAATACTTTTGTTAGTCATTATTTACTGTATTACATTTATTTTATCACATATTATAGTTCACACTCACTACACTGCTAAGTGGTTTGTTTCTGGAGGCTCTCAGAAACTGTTTTATTGATGCAACCTACTATTCAAAACCTTTCTTAGGAAAAAACGTTGTTTTAATGTTTAAAAGATCACTGGTCACTGATTATCTGTGATATTTTAGCAGATTTCATTTGCAAAACATAAACCTTAAAATTATCAGTTTAAGGAATCATAATTGTTACTGCTATCATCTTAAGTGTAGTCATAGTGAGTGTTTAAATTTCACCGATGCAAACTAACTAATAAGCGGATATTAATAAGGTTTATTTTTTTCGCCTACAAATTCTGGCGTATAAACCTCTCTTAGACGAATTGCTTTTACACATTAGGATCAACATATTGTTGAAAACACGTAATGTTTATTTGTCGAATTTCCAATTTCACACATGGAAGTTCTCAAAACTAGCTATTACATAATACTGAGCACAGAAATATCGTAGTAATGTGATTTCCACCATTTCAGATTCTCTACTCGCCTAATTCGTGTTTGGCATATTTAAAACAGTGTGTAGATGGTTCAGCAGTTGAATGATGGCCACACACCCATGTGGTTCGGAGTCTGATCCTTGGCCGACCCACACCTACACCTCGCTTAGCTGGCAGTAAGCCCGACAACGACTAGCGACCGTACCCAGAAAAAGTAAGACCACTGCCACCAGGCTTGAAGCCCTATGTTGCACTCGAAACTCAAAGGAATAAAATGAATTTTAGAAATGTTTAAAAGAGGTTGATGTGACTGAGCAGTTAACTAGAGGAAAACATAAAAAATTGAAAGCCTGTTTCTTACATTACAATTAGTTACAATGCCTACATGTTTCGCCACCAATAAAGCATTTGTTTAGAAACTCAGATTTCGATCTCTTCAGAATATAGATGTCATTTTCCCTTGATCATTTTTGCTGTAAAGCAAAGGGGCTTCTTTAAATTGTTAAATGTACTGTCATTTATGGTGAATGCTTCTAATTCGTTATACATATTAGTTTTATATATTTCAATCTGGCTATTTTCCAAGTGTTTACTACTACCTCATGATGCTTTTTCCCACTGCTTACAAAGCTGTTTCCATAGTGAACCTTATCATAACCTTCTTTCACTTACTCTAATTCTTATCTTTCGGTAGGTGAATCGATCTCTGTTTCCCCATAAACTTAATATTATTTTCATTGTCTTCGGAATTCATGAAGTACTTAATATGAGTTTTGATAAAAAATATTATACGGTTCACCTGACACTCAACATCAATGGTCAACTGTTCACAATGTGGATAAAAATCCTAATTGTAACAGCTCGTGGGTGCGATGGAGAAATATCTCTAGAAGCCGAAAGGTATTACTGTTACATTTTTAAAAGAATAAAATTGATGGAACATTCAAAACTGTATATCAATAAAAACATAAAGACCACTTCGAAACTGTACATAAAATAAGGACTTGAGTTAATATTAATTTCGAGGTGATCCGTTGTTATTACTTCTGTCATATAAATATCTTGGCTACAATTTGTTAATTATTTGAAACATTATACTCCTGATGAAGTTGACCGCTCAGAATGTTTAATAAGATTGGGTTTTTAGGAATTTTTTTAATCTTTTGTGACACTATCGAAGTAGTCTACAGTCCTCTACATTTTTCAGTTGAATTGTCAGGCTTTTGAAATTATTGTTGTCTTGATTAGACCAACATTAATTTTATCTAAACTAATTTTACTTTTACTAATAATTAATTAATTATTCCCTTACGTTCCGAGTAGAACATAGGACTTCAACAACACATCTCCACTTTGTTCGGTCTTCTGCCGTCCTCTCCAGTTGGGTCCATGATTGACCAAACTCTCTCATCTCTTCCTCACACGATATCCTCCATGTTATTCCAGGACGAGCCCCTCGTCACTCCCATTTGGATTACGCTCCAGAACCTGGTGTGCAATGTCATTCGGTGGCCTCCTCAAGGTATGTCCGATCCATCCCCACTTTCTCCTACAAATTTGTTGAGCGATCGGCTCTTGGTTGGTTTGTTCCCATAGTTTCTTGTTGCTTGTTCTTTCTGGCCATTGGATCTTCACTATGGAGCCAATGGAGTCAGCTGTTGATGAAAGTCTGCAATGATCTGTTGGAAATCCTTTTCATGACACGCAGTGCAAGTTTCTAACCCGTTTAGAAGAACCGAATTGACATTGGTTTTGAAAGTGCGAATCTTCTTCCCTATGCTGATTGCAGAAGATTTCCAAGCTGGTTTCAGGTTGATGAAGGCGAATCTTGCCTTTCCGATTCTGCCTGGCTGGCTTTGACATCTTCATCTGTCCCACTGGCCTGTATTTAAAACGATGCTTCCCAGTCAGATAAGTGAAGGATGAAACTCTGTTACATCTCCCCATTGATGCTGACTGGTGCTGGTTGTTGTGGCTGTCGATTGATTATCTTCATCAACTCCGTCTCCTCTGTGTTCACCTGCAGTCCTGTTTTCACTGCCTGCCTCTTCAGCCAGTTTGTTGGTTTTCGCTTGCAAGTCCTCGAATTTGTGTAACACTAGACATATATCATCTGCGAAATCCATATCTTCTAGAGTCCTCTTATCGGTCATCCAGAGTATTCCTGACTCCTCGCTCCTGGCAGTTTGACGCATAATCCAGTCCACCACAATTAAGAATGTCATCGTCGGTGATAATAGGCAGCCTTGGTTTACTCCTGCCTTCACTTCAAAGGCTTTGCTGAGTTTTCCGTTGTGGATCACCTCACACATGGCATTGTCAAATAGCCAGCTGTTGAATGAGGTTGATAAAGACTTGAGGTACGCCATAGTGTTGAAGCAGTTTCCAAATCACTTCTCGGTCAACGCTGTCTGTCGAAGACATGTTCGAAGTCGATGAAGGATGTTGATTTAGAGAGAGGTTTCACTGCCATTCTATGCTTTGTTCTGTGATGACGATGTGTAGAGTTGCAATTTGATCAGCACATGATTTGCCTTTTCTGAATCCAGCTTGTTCTAGTCGGTGGAGTTCTGCATCCAGTGCATCTTTTATTCTCTCCAGGATGATGTGACTTAGTATTTTACTTGGAGTGGCTAAGAGCATTATTCCACACCAGTTCTTGCAGAGCGAGGTGTAAGTCGACCTTCTTTGTCAGCTAGACAAAGTAACCAGTCTTTCTTCCAATCAGTAGGTACCCTTCCTTCCTTCCAAACCTTTTGCAGTAATGGTGTGAGAACATCTGCCGCAGTCTCTGGGTCCGTTTTCACTGCTTCGGGGGAAATCCATCTGGTCCTGTTACCTTCCCATATGGACTTCAGTAGCTTGATCGCATTCACGATTTCTGTCACTGGAGAAGTGGTGTCGACTGGCAGGCTGTTCTGTGCGTGCTGTTGGTGATTGTAGTATTGCTGATTGAGTTGCAGGTGATGGTCCATTCAAGAATCCTTTAAAGTGATCAGTTCGTTGTTTTAATTGTTTCTCATT